TAATAAACTTGGGCAGCACTTCCTGGTTGCATAAAGAATCCAACATTTGCAAGTAATACATAATCTTCCCATCTGTGTTTTTAATTTAACTTCAGTGGGCGTGAGTGGCGTGATTACTGTTTTCTTAAGTTTTGCTTCTATGGGCAATTGAGAAGATTTAACATCACTTGTTGGATTCAGAGTTTGATGTGCTTCATCTGACGAACAATGTTTGACATGTGCCTGGAACTCATAAACTGGCAGGCTAGTTTTGCCTGTTTCAAAGTAGCTCTGGTTCCTGTTCTTCATTATGGAGGCTCCAAGTGCATGCAGAGTGAAGAACACTTCTCATTCTGCTTTGCCCTGGTACAACTTGAAGGAGAAATAATTGTGCAGCTATAAAATATTTGCCCATTTTCCCTCCCCTCCATTTTTCTAAAGAGCTGGGAAGCTCTCCGCTTTTTTGTTTCTGGATATTAAAATATAGATGCTTCTCTCTCTTGCTAAATCAGTGGTCCTCAACCTTGTTAATGCCGTGACCCCCCAACCGGTCTTAAGTCGAGGACTACTCAACCGGTCGTAAGTCGAGCACTACTCAACTGGTGCAGCACCGTTTGCAGAATGGGACTTTTGGCGGGCTCAGCAGGGCAGAGACAGCCTGGACAATTCCTATTGGCTTTTGAAAGCCAATAGAATTAGACTCTATTCAAGAGAGTCTATTCTATTGGCTTTCAAAAGCCAATAGAATAAAAGGGAGTAGCACAGCTAAGGAAAAGGGGGGGAAAAATGGCGGACTGCGTTGTTTGGCGACCCCCGTGAAATGGTCGTTCGACCCCAAATGGGGTCCCGACCCACCGGTTGAGAACCTCTGGGCTAAAGTCTTATTTAACAGTTAATTAACTGTCACTTTGTTGTTATTCTGTATGGGTTTCCTTCGATCTTAAACCTAGGTCATCCTAGATGAGGGGAGGCGTGACGCGACAGGTCAACCTGAAGCTGCCCCAGTTCTGATAGCTTGTCTTGAACATATCCCTTACTGTAGTTACATAAGAGAAATGACATTTTATTTTGGCCTTCTGGGTATCAACATTTCAGACCAATCTGTTTTAGAAAGCAGCTGGAAGTGTATTTTGTCATGCAAATGAAGGTTTTCCGGTTTGGTTTTCTGTTTCTAATAAAGCATTTCCCAATCTCTCTCTCTGTGTATGAGGCCCCCTCTCTAACTACGAGTAGACTTTGACTTAAGAACACAAGTGATCCCCACATTTTCATTGCTAAACAAGGCAGTTGTTAAACGAGTCACGGCCCATTATACAACCATTTCCCCCCCCCCGGTCATTAGGTGAATCATTACTGTTAAGTGATAAACATGCGGTCGTTATGCAAATCTGGTTTCCTCCATTGACTTCGCCTGTCAGAAGCTTGCAGGTGACCGTCCCAGGATCCTGGGTGGTTGCAGTTATCTTAAATCAGTGTTTCTCAACCTTGACAATTTTAAGGCATGTGGACTTCAATTCCCAGAATTCCACAGCCAGCAATGCTGGCTGTGGAATTCTGGGAGTTGAAGTCCACATGCCTTAAAATTGTCAAGGTTGAGAAACACTGTCTTAAATCCATCCGGGTAGCCAAGCACCTGAATTTGGACCCCCTAATTGTGGGGATGCTGCAGTGGTCGCAAATATGAGAACTGGTCATAAATCAACTTTTCCCCAGTACCATTGTAACTTCAAAGTGTCATTAAATGAGTGGTTGTAAGTCAGGACTACTTGCGCTTCTCGGTAAGTTTCTGAGTGTCAGCCACCCCCACCCCCCGAAACCGGTGAACAGCGACCTGGGGCGTGCAGGATTCGTGCCTGATCCTCACCTACGCAACGTGTAGGGCAGTGGTTCTCAACCTTTTTAATGCTGCGACCCCCACCCCCAACCGGTCGTAAGTTGAGGACTGCTCAACCAGTCGTAAGTCGAGGACTACTCAACTGGTGCAGCACCGTTTGCAGAATGGGACTTTTGGCGGGCTAAGCAGGGCAGAGACAGCCTGGACAATTTCTATTGGCTTTCAAAAGCCAATAGAATAAAAGGGAGTAGCATAGCTAAGGAAAAGGGGGGGGGGAATGGCGGACTGCATTGTTTGGTGACCCCCGTGAAATGGTCATTCGACCCCAAATGGGGTCCCGACCCACAGGTGGAGAACCGCTGGTGTAGGGCCTCTGTTTTTTTTTTTTAATCTCACCTACCTTGCGAGATGCATTCCAGAGACTTGTAAGATTTCAAAGGAAAAGAGAGGCTTTGTAAGATAGGATGGCTCCTTAAGGATTTCAGCCATTGAGTGTGTTACGTCTGACCAGCCTTCTGCTGAAGTTCTGTGGGAAGTCTTTAATTCCTCGGTACTTGGGGAACTGCCGCTTTAATTCACAGGATATTCCAGGCTGTAGATCCAGATTGATGTATTTTTGAGGCACAGTCGGCCTCGATAAGGTTGTAAACCTATTATTAAGATTAAAACAGGGGCGGCTTAGCAGTTAAGGCGCTGGGTTTGTCAGCTGGAAAGCCCCAGCAGTTCAGTTTAGAGACCTAAGTGTCACGCAACGGTGTGAGTTCCTGTCCTCACCCCAGCTCCTTCCAAAAAAAAAAACATGCAAGTGGATTAATTAAATACCATTTTGGTGGGAAGGTAACAATGCTCTGCCATGTGTTGGTTACATGGTCACAGAAATGTCTTCAGACAAAATGGAGATGAGCACCCTCTCTCCCCCCCCCCTCTAAAGTTGGCAACAACTAGTGGAGTAAAATCTGCAGGGACTCCTTTATCTTTTTCTAGATGAAAACTGGGACAAGAAGAAACGGTTAGATTGGGGACGTTTGCTACAAGGAGTAGCGAAAGCTTTTCTACAAGTCAGCCTCCTTGCTAAATCCAGTTGATCGTCCCCAACCGAAAAGAAAAGATAAAAAAAAGTAACAGCGTGACTTAAGCGGTAGAAGTATCTCCATAGTGACCAAGTCTGACAACAAACAAGCCAGGTTTCAGATGGGGAAGCCAGAGCAGCTGACGGGTTTTTAAATAGTCCTTGCACAAAGTGAAGACTGTAAGTATGCGGTACTATTATAACAGGCAAGGCTATCTATCTCCTGCTCACTTCCTATCTCTTGCTTAGTTTCTGCCCAAGTGCGCAACGAGCTATTATTGTAAGAATGGCTGTTGTCAAGCTGTACTTGGGAAAGTCTTCCTGTTTTGTGTAACAGATTCTGGGCAGAGAGAAAGATGTCTTTGGTACCAACTTTTTACTCGCAGTTACCCACACGTCCCCTGGTCTGGGGAAGAGAAAACAAGCTGTGTTAGATTTTTATTTTTTTTATTTTTTATTTTTTGCCAGCAAGTTGGGGGCCTAAAAGCAGAGCGGTTTACCCCCAAAGCAGTTTCGCAAGGATGTGTATTTATATGACCTTAAACACAAATTGCTCTAAAGTAAATCACCCACTGAGAGAGAGTCCAGGCTTACATCAACGGTAATGAAAGCCACAAAGGAGAAAGCAGGGTGAAATAACTCAGAAATTATGCTTCTTTTTTCTGCGTGAAATAGTTAGCAGTTCCTGTTTTTCAAAGTAGTCCTTGATTTAAAAACCTTTCATTTGATCACTGTTGGAAGTTACAATGGCACTGGAAAAAGTGACTTGTGGCCGGTTCTCGTACTTATGACTGCTGCCACGTTCCCCATAGTCACATGATCAAAATTTGGCACTTGGTAACCATGTGTTTATGACAGGGGTCATTTGATCATCATTTGCAGACTTCTCAGCCAGCTTCTAATGAGCAGAGTCGAAGGAGGAAGCTAGGTTTGCTTAACAGCCACCCAATTTACTTAACAACTGCAGTGATTTACTGAACAGGTCATAAAAGAGGCACAACTCGCTCAGCAGTGGAAATGTTGGGCCGATTGTCGTCATAAGCCAAGGACTTACTTCCCTGTAGATTGTGAAAGTTGCCTGTTCTGGTATTGGCTTATGTTCCATTGGCATAATACCCTCTATAGCAGTGGTTCTCAACCTGTGGGTCGGGACCCCATTTGGAGTCGAACGACCATTTCACGGGGGTCGCCAAACAAGACTGTCCACCATTTTTTTCCTCTTTGGCCACGCCCCTGGCACCCAGTGATGTATAAGTGGTTGGGGGTCACCACAACATGGGGAACTGTATTATGGGGTCGCGGCATTAGAAAGGTTGAGAACCACTGCTCTATAGGCAGTCCTTATTTCACTTAACGACCGTGTTACTAATGTTAACAACTGCAATGATTCATTTAACAACTGTTGAGTCGTAACATGGGGAAAACTCATTTCAAAAATGTCTCCCTTGAAGAAGGGGAGGGGAAGAGAGTAGGAGGGGAGGAGAGAAAGAGGAGGGAAGTAGGGAAGGATGAGAGAGGGTGGACGCAGCCTGGGGGGAATGGGCAGGTGGTACCAATGGTTAGGAATTTAATTGTATTTTGTATGAATAAATGGAAAATAAAAAAATTTTTAATAAAAAAATGTCTCCCTTGGCAACAAATTTTGGGCTCAGCTTGTGGACGTAAGTCGAGGACTACGTGTAGTATTAATTTCCTTCCAATAAAACACGAAACAAATGGCAGTAGTGCTGGGTAGTGTCAACATCTGGACTTGGAGAGACTCCCAGCCTACTGACATCATTGTCAAGTGGTGGAAAGGCTATTTTACTTATCCGGGAAGATGTCTAAATTCCTACCCGATTACTTAATTCTTTGGCTTCATCTTAATAATCCAGATAGTGGCTCATGTTCAGCGCGTGCTATTCTGTTAGAGGCTTTCACGGTTTACGTCATCCTTGGTTTGGAAAGCTGGAATATATGTTGTAGTAAAAATTCCGTTTCAAAACATTTGATGGGAAAGTAGCTACTTGGGAGCTGAAAATCTGAAAAGCGGTAGGCAGCCCTGCATGTAAGCTTGTATTGCCGCAGTCTCGGAACTGCCAGTCATTTTACCGCTTTGGTCTTCTGTTCTTTCGCCAGCTCTCTGTAGGCGGGAATCTTGCTGCTTTCCTGTCCGTTCCTCCAGATCAATTTGCTTATCAGAAAGTCTCCAGAGTTGATCACGTGACCCGTCATAAATACGAGTCAGTTGCCAAGCATCTGGATTTTGATCGCGTGGCCACAGGGAGGCTGCAACGGTCGTAAGTGTGAAAAACGGGTCACTTTTTTTCAGCGCTGTTGCAATTTCAAACTGTTGTAAGTTGAGAGCTACGTATATGTGGTTATTAAAATACTAAAAACTATATTCTTTAAAAAAAAGTCTCTTTGAATTGAACTTGCGGCCCTGTCATTTTCTTGGAAGCGAGATTTACATCACCTTCATCTGATTTCTCCCCCCCCCCCTTAATTATTGTATCTGACCTATACTTGTGGTATTCTGTGGAAGTGTCCACCTTTCAAATAGTAACCAGCCCCATCCCTGCTTATCTCCTGAGATAACTAAGTTGGCCAAATGCTACCAATAAGGGCAGACACATATTCCCAGGTATTTGTCATTTCTTAATCTGCTGCTTCTGAACAATAGGCTTTTGGGGTTATATATTTAATCTGCATTCTTTTTTCTTTTCTTTTTTTTTACCTTTTCTGGTAAGGGGGGGGGGCTGACTTCTTTGGAATGTAGAATACCTTAATTGTCATTGTGTAGCTCACAACGAAATTAAGTGCGGTCCATAGTGCACACTGCACACAAGTAAAAACATACATTATATATACACATCCCATAGGGTGACTGATGCTAGGATTGTTTATGCCAAATACTGGAAAGAAAAGGAGACGCTGACTATTTTAAAATTGACCGAACTGGGAAAGATGGTAACATTTAACAGCATTGATTAGAGACAATGGATTAAGATAAATTTATAAGAGATTTGGAAGCCGTTTGTGGACTTCAGATACAATAACAGACTATTAAAGAGGGCTTTGAAGACTAATTCTGCTCTTGGGGTTACCGCTTCACTTTTTATTTTTAAGGGAATAGATGGTGGGTTGACTTGAGAGATCGTAGATTGCCACATCGGTGACCTCTTTTGATGTAAGATAATATTTTTGGTAAATGCAGACGGGAAACTTCATAACTATTTGTAGAGCTGTAATGCAAGGCAGGGGCACGTAACAGATAACATTTTTCAGCATTCAACCAGGATGGACATTTTTATGTTTAATGTTAATGTTATATGTGTTATATACATGCTTTTATTACTGTTTTTTTGTGTTTGGATGTTTTGTTTGTAGTTGATTTTTTTTTCCCCTTTCTATTTTGCATTTTAACTTTGGAGATAAAAATAAAAAAAAATCTTAAAAAATGAGTGATTTGGCATAATATCTGTTAAAACACAGAAAAGTTGGAGCCACTAACATTCTCTGCTTTCCATAATAGGACTGGGTTTCCTCACTACTAATTAAATACAGTCCTGCTTGGACTAAATAAATGTAGTAGACGTGTGTTCTCCCTTTGTGTGCAATGAAACCGATTAAAAGTAGTGTGTTGTATACTTGGCTTATTCATTAAAGAGAGCTTTTGAGACAGGTTACACAAGCTCTTGAGATAGCCTGCCACCCAGAACAGCTGACAGGAATACCTATTGTTCTGCTTGGCTTTTCTGCCATCTAATCTGATTTCTCAAAGGCCGTGTGGAAAATGTAATAATTCAAAAGGCATTTTGGCACTTCCTGGAGGGACCAGCCCTGCTCGAACAAACAAACAGAGCATTTTACAGCTTAAAGATGTAGATCCACGCAAGAGGAAACAAATAGCAAATACTGCTAGCAAAATTAAAATAATTAGCTGGCTTTTGTTGTTGTTGTTTGTTAATGACAATCACACAGTCCAGATGTGTGCTTTTAAGTCCGCCTATTCAGTTACGATTCTTAGGGGCATAATTTAAAGACGAATGCATAAATAAGTATGAAAGCAAGCTTTATCTCTACAGTGTTCCTTACAAAGCAGGGTGCTTTTCCAAAATCAGCTTCTGATATCGTTTGATTAAACCCTTTTGTTCACTGGATTCCTAACCTGCAGGAACAGAAGGACAGATTGCAGCAAAAAAAAACTGGTTAGCATCTCCTCCCTCAAACTATTGGAAAGTTCCTAAAATTGGACACCAGAATATTCTTGGGGAATTTTTCCTTCCTACGGCATGCACACCGCTTCAATTTTCTGCAAAGGCTAATGTTCCTTTTTTTTAAAAGGAGTGGATGAATCCGGAGAGTTTCATATAAGCAGGAAAGCACAGCGTTCAAATGAGTTAACTTCTGCCACAGGCCAAGAGCATAATTCATTGGTCCAAGGTCACCGTAGCAATTGGCTGGATTGACCGGGGATGATGGGAACCCTGATCCAATCCTCCTCAAGTGTATTCAGCCGTGAAAGACTCCTGTTCCAGTTCTAAGGCAGACAGCTGACTTTCATGGGGTTAATGATTCTCTCGCCAAGCAGGAAGTGGTGTGACTCTTAGTAACTAATTCAACAATATTTACGTCAGGACGAATTTAAAAAAAAACAACATCCTGCTATAAACCTGTTTCCATTTATTTTATTTTTTTAAAAAAATGCTTTTATTTTAGAAACGAGATGAAAGATCCATGAACGGGGGAATTCTATTCACGATCTGCCCCCTGAAGTTTTTGGTTTTTTTTTTTGTCCCCCCAAACTCATCAAAAGCTCTACGGGAGTCCCAATTTTGCAATGCTGAACAGAAATTACGTTAGAGAAAAATAAAGTCTGGGGTGGACGTTGCCTCTCTGCTTTAAATAAGATAAGATATAACCTTTATTGTCATTTTTTTACTGTGGGCACCACGGCACATAAAAAATGAAATTTAGTTGCCCGCTCTCAAAGTGAAACACATACATGACACACACCTAAACATACTATGTACGACCCACACCCCTACATATACGTAACAAATAAATATTAAATACTGTCCATCTTTAGCTTGCTTTGCGAAGCCTTAACTGCAGTCAGATGGTCATCGGCTTTGCCAAAAGGTACAGAACTTGACCCAAATGAAAAGGGATCTTGTTACATTAACAACAAAGGGACATTTTGCATGAATGAAAGACGGAGGATACTATTAAAGTAGATTAATTACAGGGAAGGTGGGTGGAGATAGGCCAGGGGTAGGCAACCCTGGCTCTTTTATGACTGGTGGACTTCAACTCCCAGAATTCCTGAGCCAGCCATGCTGAGGGGAAAGGGAGAGGTTTCAAGCTGAGATGTACTAGCTGAGGAATTCTGGGAGTTGAAGTCCACCAGTCATAAAAGAGCCAAGGTTGCCTACCCCAGTCTATATCAGGGGTCCTCAGCATTGGCTCTTTTATGACTCGTGGACTTTAACTCCCAGAATTCCTGAGCCAGCCACGCTGAGGGGAAAGAGGTTTCCAAGCTGAGCCAGGCTGGCTCAGGAATTCTGGGAGTTGAAGTCCACGAGTCTTAGAATTGCCAAGGTTGAGGATCCCTGATACAGAATTTTTATCTTTTCAACTTTCCAGAAATGCTAATTTCTGAACAATTGTCCAGCTGATGTTGGATGACTGATAAAAACTAAGCAAGGGCAGATCTGGTTAGCACCAGGATGGGGGTCTACCCGGGGGGGCGGAAGGAAAATTCACCCTAAAACAAAGGAGTGACAAACTTAGGACCACCGTTGAGCCCACAATTTCTGTTGCTCAGCGATACACATTCGTTGAGTTTTTGCCCCCATTTTGCGACCTCTCTTTCCCTAGTTGTTAAGTGAATCGCAGTTGTTAAATTGGGCTTCCCCTTTGACTTTGAAGGGTCACCTAAGGGGATCACGTGATGCTGGAACACAGCAGCTGTCATAAATAACGAGTCAGCTGACAAGTGTCCAAATTGTGATTGCGTGACCCACAGAGAGGCTGCAAAGATCGCAAGTGAAAAATGGTTAATAGGTTGCTCTTTTTCGGTGGCGTTGTAGCTTCAGTCGTTAAATGAACTTGTAAGCTGAGGACCACCCCTACTGTATCGCCAGGAAAAACTATGCAGATGTGTCCCATCAACCCTACAATGTGTTTCATTTTCTTTTTTAACTTCCCAGTCAAAATCACGCGTTGGAGCTTGATTCAAAAAGAGGCTTACTCTCTCTCTCGTCCCGGCTGTCCGGTTCGGGGTTCTTGAATTGATCCTCCGTTCGGCACGCTTGCGTATTAAAGGTGTGTTTGTGAGCGAAATTCACAAACACAGGTTTGTGAATTTGATGGGCACAGGTTTAGTTTTTTTGATGCTGAAGATGTTCAATGCCCTCTAGTGTTCTTTCCCAATTCCGAGAGAGGGCATCCTTTTTTTATCTCCAGGAAAAAGCAAGCTTCTCTTTTAACACATTGGGAGAAAATAAAATATATTTGTGTGTGCCGTTATGTTGGTAAATGCTTTAAATTTGGGGCGTGGTGAATGCACACTCGCAGAAAAGATCAGGGTGGGTGGCATTTAACACTTCTGAAAGCGTGAATAATTGTTGCTTTTGCAGCTCCCATCACAAGTCCCAAAGACACAGGTCTGCTGGAATGCCGAGTGGCAAGACAGTAAAAGGAATTTTAAGATATTAAAAGGTAGACTGTGAACTTTGGAACCTATATTTAGTTGGGATTTAAACTACGGTAAAACCCCCCATTTACCTCCATTTCGTGTCCTATTAACCTTGTTTTAGGAATTAGAATTATGCCATTTCAGTTCACACACCAAACATCACGTTAATCTCAGTCCCGTGCACGGTTATAGTTACCCTGGATTTTTAAAAAGCCCTGGAAAGCATCCTACGTATATTGAATATTGTACCGAGGCTCTGGATATGTCGAGTACCATAAAATAGATTGGTTCTGATTTGAAAACGGTACCATTGCTAGGATTCTTGCAACCTCATATATATTATGATAAGCCTCGCTAAAGGTAACTGGGAATTGGGATCAGAATAGAAACACGGTGTGAAAAAGAAGACATTCTACGTATAGGAGCGGCTTGCAAATTGGAGAGGAGCACTTTCGATGACAACACGGTGTGAGGAAAAACATCAAAAGGAGTCTTCCTCTTTCGCAGTTTCAGTTCTAATAATTTCCACCCGTCGTTCGTGTTTACAGAAGATGCAAAGTCCAGTGCCCTACAGATGACTTGGCTGGCGAGTCCCATAATGAATATTGAAACTGGAAATAACAGGTAACCAACCACAATTCATTTAGCGACCGTTCAAAGAGGGACAACGAAAATGCGAATTGCAAAAGTTTTTTTTTTTTAATTTATTTTAAATCATTAAACGGAATTGTCGTCCCACGGCGAATTGGCAGTGGCAAATTGTCCCCTTTTGGGACCAGGTGACCTTGGGACACAGCTGCCGTCGTAAATACGAGTCAGTTGCCATGCCATTTTGATCACGGGGATGCTGCCAAGGTCATCACTGAAAAATGGTGGAAAGTCGCATTTTTTCGGCGCCGCTATAACTTTGAGCGGTCGCTAAATGAACTGGTGTAAGTCGAGGACTACCTGTAGAAGAAGCAAGGCTGTCCTGTCTTGGAAGACTGTCCTGTGCTACTGGCAAACTGGCACCCACAATTGCCTATTGGCTAAACACAGTTTGTTACCAGATGTGAATTAAGGAGTTCAGCCTTTGTACTCAGGTGCAGCCATTTTTATAAGCAGCCCAAAATAGACTCTGCCATCTCAGACTTGTGATTCACCCAGACTTAAAAAAAGAAACTACGATCCGCCTCTCTTCTTTTTTTAGATAACTTTCTTTGTGGATTTATAAAACATTCCACAGCTGTCCTGAAATAATTCCAGGTTTTTCTCGGTGTTAAGTGCTTCTTTTAGCACTATCAAAATTAATAAAGAGATTAGCTTCAGCATCCAAGGATTGTTAATCGTTGCAGTAAAAAGTACCATAATCAAGGGCTGAGCTGTTGGACTCTTGCGTTGCTTGCAATCCAAACAGATCTGAAGGCCATTAAGCCTGGAGAAAAACAATCGGGGGTTTACATTCATTAGATTGTGCGACAATTCATGGGCCTGTTTTTCCTGGTCATTATTACTTAACGTCCTGTTGTGTAAGTCAGAACGTGCTACGGCCGTCTGGACCGTAGGTAACTTCCCAACCCAAGTTTGTAGTTACCAAATTCTGCAACCGGTGGCCAACATGATATGTTATTCGCCTTTGGCAAACCCTGGCACAAATAAGCAGAGCGTGCCTTTGAAATTTGAAATTTTCAAAATCTCAACAGAGTTGTACGCAGCTTTGCCTGCCCAAATCTGTTCCTTGTTAATGGAATGTTTTGTATTAAAGAATGCAAATTTATCGAACTGGAGATGGAATTAATTTCACTCGGGATAGACCAGGTGTAGGCAACTTTGGCTCTTTTATGACTTGTGGATTTCAACTCCCAGAATTCCTGAGCCAGCCATGCTGAAGGGAAAGGGAGAAGTTTCCAAGCTGAGCCATGCTGGCTGAGGAATTCTGGGAGTTGAAGTCCACGAGTCAGAAAGCTGCCTAGGCCTAGGCCAGGGGTAAACAACCTTGGCCCTTTTATGACTGGTGGACTTCAACTCCCAGAATTCCTGAGCCAGCCTTCCTGAGGGGAAAGGGAGAGGCTTCCAAGCTGAACCATGCTGGCTCAGGAATTCTAGGAGTTGAAGTCCACATGTCTTAAAGTTGCCAAGGTTGAGGACCCCTGATATAGGGCAGGGGTGGGGAACCTTGGCTCTTTTATGACTCGTGGACTTCAACTCCCAGAATTCCTGAGCCAGCCACGCTGAGGGGAAAGGGAGAGGTTTCCAAGCTGAGCCATGCCGGCTCAGGAATTCTGGCAGTTGAAGTCCACGAGTCATAAAAGAGCCAAGGTTCCCCACCCCTGGCTTAGGCCTGTAACTCCCAGAATTCCTGATCCAGCATGGGGGAACTACGGCCCCTTCATGACTTGTGGACTTCAACTCCCAGAATTCCTCAGCCAACATGGCTCAGCTTGGAAACCTCTCCTTTTCCCCTCAGCGTGGCTGGCTGAGGAATTCTGGGAGTTGAAGTCCACAAGTCATAAAAGAGCCAAGGTT